TCGCCGTCGCCGGCTGATTACACCAGCTACGGCAGACAACTTGGCGCGCCGCACAAAAGTGTAGCAAATCCTCAAGAGCGCCCGGGCGCACGGAGCAGCCCGGCTGGCAAGGTGTCAATTCTGGGAAATCTGCTCAGCGTGCGCGGGCCAAGCGATGCACAAACAATACACAACACAGCGGGAGGCTCTGGCCAAGCAGAAAAGGCAACAAAATTGTTATGGTGACAATGACAATGCACTGCCCATGGCCAAGGCGCACAATAAGCAGCAGCAGCAGCAACGAGAGTGGTCTAGTCGAATGGGTCCGACTAGGAGATACCCTGTATCTATCGTTTTGAAGCCGGCCCCAAAAATTCAAACAATATTACACATGTATATATACACAGAAAATCGCACTCACCTTTAATTTTTTACCCTTTTGTGTTACGAAAGCACAGAAATTGAGGAACTAGGGTAAAGAGTAAAATATTCTTAATCTGTGTATACATAAGAAAAACTTCGTATTAATACTTATCGATGTTTGGAGGATGGAAGGAGATTTCGAAAATGTGGTAGACATGTTCAGCTCGTTGATGCTTCCGTCCGCTTGCTGTATGTGCTCAAAACTTATATACCCTTTGCATTTTCAATGGGTACAGGGTAAAGCAGGAGCAACACATAACGAAGCGCAGACAACATTATTGTCATCTCTCGACATCAATAGGTGCTAGCATTGGCATTGGAAACTAGTGCAGTGGGCTGTGGGAGAATCTTTGAACGCGCTCCAATTAAAAAAAAAAAAAAAGCTTCAGCTGGATGCTCTTCTTCTATTGCTTTTGCAACCTTCTGTTTGCTGCCCACAGGCAATTTGCATTCGCAGGCGTTTTTTCTTTGTATGCTGCACTGAAAAATCACGTTGTTAGTGCCTGACTGAGCTCTTACAATTCCACGACATTATTTATTTATTTTATTTTTTCGAAAATTTACATACCAAACATATGTAGCTGATTGCGCAAATTCAAGTGCAAAGAAATATTTTAATGGCACGCTTCAGTGTTGTAAAACGCTAGCCCTTTGTTATTGCGTTGATGAATTATCGCAATCAGTCAATAAAATATGGCTATTGGAAGCAGATAAGAATGGCCCATCCCCAATAAGAAAGTTATCGATGTAAAGCTCATTCAAATCTGTTAATCACAGAATAACGAATTGTATATAAATGATTGTATATGAAATGATGCACAACCCGGTGATTTAAAAAATATGAATTACCTAAATGACATTTTTAGTGTTGCAAAACACCATACTTTTGATATCGCATTGCCCACCCCAAAGGGAAAGTTATCGATTAAGTTTTTTCATGACTTTTTCAAATCTCTTTTTAAAAGAAAAGCAATAAAGTGAGCATCCTCTATTTTTTTTTTAAATTTATATAGTAGATTTTAGGGTTTCGTCACATGATGAAGTTAATGGAATTTTTCACTTCATTAGTTGAGAAAAGAACAAATTGTATTTTGATCAAAATTAAAATAATAAATGAAAATCCATCTTAACTGTGGGAACATTGTTGATTTCGTAGAATCGCTTTCATAAGAGGATTTTGTTTAACATCCTAAACAGAAAGCGTGTAAAATTATGATATTTTAGCAATTTTATTTTGTCGAAAGTTTATTTGTTGCAACATGGAGCAACGAGTAACACCCATTATATGACCAGCTCTTAAGGTGCTAATCCTATTTTGAGGCAGTGAAACAAAAATAATAAAACTCTTTTACGACAAGCTTTAAAAGAAGAAAGAAAACGCGGCCAGGGACTTGCCACGTCTGTGTCTGGGCCAGAGCAGCAACAAATTATTAACGACATTTTAAATACAACGCCTTTTGCGACCGCTCGAGCTGAGCTCGAGAGCGAAAGGGGTCAAACACGGGTCTCAGCTCTGGAGTCTGGGAGTCACCAAGGCCCAATCGAGTCTTCCTTGCGGGCGGCGACACGAGAAACGAAGACGACGGCGACAAGCCAAGAGGCGACGCCTTTTAATGAGATTTGTCTGCTCCGAAATACATGAAAAACTCGTGTTTCTTTTGCATTTAAGCGTTTTAAGGACACACAGGCAAAAACGAGAGACCAAAGCCACTTGCTGTTGGCCCTTACGAATGGGACTCAGCAAAACGGCAACGTGTGGCATTAACAAGTGTCTGGCTGGAACTGCAGAGCCCTCTCTACAGAGTTGTGCTTTATATTTTATGCTCAGAGCAGGCAGTAAAAATTGAAAATTACTTTTGTAGCGGATCTTGAGGTTGGGGCCATTACATATCCAGGCCCTACCGCATTTGAAAGCTGAGGCAATAATTGCACAGTGAAAATTACAATCGAGTATTTTTATTGACCCTTCCTTGCGGCTGGGCCCAGATCTGCGTGCCATCCGCGAGCTCGATGAAAGTGCGTGTGGGTTATGGAGATCTTCAACTGGGGTCTGGAGCATGTGCACCCGCGGCGTTTAGTTTCTGTTACTGTAGATGCGAATGAAAGTTTTTAACCGTTCATCTTTTTTAGGATATTATGTTTAAGGAATACCCAAACATGACAGCCAAAATTGTTGCTAATAAATTGCTTAACTTTAAATGCCACCCAAATGGGACACAGTAAATAAATAAATTATGTACAGTGAGCAAAAAAAGTAAGGGTATAGGCTGCTTTTTGTGCTTACAATCAATAGAAATAGAACACGTCGGAAAATAAAACAAATACGAAAGGAACTTCTCGGTACGTCGAAAATGAAATACCCTTATAAAACTTACGGCTGACGGCTTAGCCAATATGTGAGGAGAATTAGAAAGCTCGTAATTGAATTTGATGGAAGATATGGACAAAAAGATCATTTTCTTCTTAACTAGTTATATGGTACTGTAGGCCGATGTTTATCATATATGGCATATATATAAGGAGCTCTGTAAAATTAATAAATGGGGTGCTTGGTCTTTATCTTGAAAAACAAATATTTTTATACGAAAACTTAATTTTCAACCGATTGTTCCTATAGGAGTCATACGATATATTGACCTGGCTTATTAACCGTCATTATTAATTGATTGATCCTCTTTTTGCGCCCAATGCATCAGCCGTAATAGCTTTGTGTTAATTATTTGATTGCTCCTTCTTTTGTATTTGCATTTTTTGACGATTTTTTCACGAGTTTTCGTTCATGATAGGCATTTCTGATCCTTTTGTGCAACAAGTTCCATATGTGGGCTCTTGGCTTAAGGTCTAAAGATTTTGGAAATTTATGTGCAATATTATTAGCTAATAGAGCTATTCAACTCATTCATTCGCTTGTCCATTTTTTATGTAAATTAATTTAGTTTAACGTATATTTTAAACGAAAATTTTGTTTAAAAGTGTGAAGTGCAAATAAACTTTGTTCGATGGCTGCAAGCAGTTCGACGCGGTCCTTAAATATGCCTAATTGAGGATCAGGACTTGTCGCCTGGCAGAAGGAGAGAGACACCAATAAGCTTGTTCCTTCATGATTTAGAGCGGCAGCAAACGCAAGCTAATTAACTTGCACAGCGGTTAGGCACTCCACACCTGTGGGTGGTCCCCGTCGAGAGGCACATACAAGCCACGCGGATCGGGAACGTACAAAAAATTAGTTAACAAGATCATTAAATCTTTGTTAACAGTCTATCGAGCGGCGACGAGACGACAAGGCATTAGACTTGGAGAGCGAGAGATACCCAGGTGCCCCAGGTTGTGAGCCCAGGCCACGACGTGCGATAAGATAAGAGCGCACCCAGAGCAGAGCATACCTGGGCCCAGCATGTAAATCGCATCTCACACAGTACGTGGTCAGTCAGTCGGCCGGCGGACGACGTTGCACATGTTTATCTATTAATTTATGCTGGTGGTTTTGTGGATTTGGGCCGGCGAGATTGCTGCCCTGGACCTGGCTGGACCTGCTAGTGCCTGCTTCCTGGGAATCTTAAATCTGCACAGCACAGTGGGCAACAGGGACAAACATTTGATAAGCCCGCTAATTAAGTTAAATGCGCGCCTGTGTGGGCTGGACAGGATTCCGAGAAGCCGCCGCAATTGGCACAGGTTTAGGTTTTTAGGTTATGTGTTGGCTCATGATTTATGGTCGCGCGGGGCACAACTAGAGCCCATTGCTAGCCAACACCTTTTTATCTGACTAACAACACTGAAAGTGTTTGTTTGTTTGTTTGACAGCTGCCTCCATGGAGGGGTTGCCACTTGAGATTCCAACATGTTTTTTAATTGCGCAACGCGCATGCGTGTGTGGCCAGTGCCAGATTTCTGTGTCTAAATTTAGAATTACGGTTTAACCCCTGTCGGAGTCGATTAACAGGCGACACTTGGTTGGTTGGGCATGCGCCGTTGGGGAAATGCCTTAAGAGCGCGCTAAGAGAGCTTGTTTGTGGCCAAGCCCCACGAGAAACAAACTGGAAACGAAACATACAAAAGCAATACGAAAAGAGTGGCGTAATTGAGTGTGGCTTAAGAGTGGAAAAGTTAACTCTTCCTTATGCTCTTTTATGCTGAGTTGCGTATGAGAAATAAAGCTTATTTACTTTTAAGTGTGCATACGTTTTGTTCGGCTATTACGCTGATTTTACTCCCTTGGCAAATATCTCGCGTAGAATGCTTGCTAGCTACCTGAACCCACATCAGTTAATTTGCACACGTGCGGGTTGTTACCTGTGGTTTCTATTTTGACCACGTTTCGGCAACAGGTCAATTCCAAACGCAGCAATGCACCTGTTGAGACAATAAATGGGGTTATATGACGGTGCAGACCAAGTAATCCACTGCTGGGGATACTTTCTGCATTGTTTTAACTACAGGTAGTTGGCTAAAAAAAAAACAACCTTAAACCTTAAATTCATTTCGTTGATATTCGTAAATAAACCTCAAGCAGTGTGACTGTCAATTGTCATTCACTATAATCGATATGTCGCAATTGTAAATGCATCTCTGCTAATACATCAGTCAAAATACAAAATTATTGTAATTGCGTCTTGATTATTGAACATCAATTGTTTCGCCTATTTAATAGTCGAAACGGCACTGCGCAAGAGCCATTCGCAACCCCCCAAAAGGTCTGAGCAGAACAACAAAAGTAAGAGTCGATTGATATTACGCATTGTCGATGCTTTATTATTTTGGCTTTCAATTAAATTTTACGCTCTCTGGCGCTCTCTGCAGCAAGACCTGGTGGGACTCGTGCTGAAGAAGAGCTTCACACGTTAAGTGCGTCGTTGATCTGAATGCGCCTCTGGGTTCGCTCTCTTGCATGCACCAGCGTTTAGCTGCAGCTGCGGGGCCTGCACACCACAGCAAAGATAACGGCATTTAGCTGCACGCTGTTGTTGTTGCGGCGGCGTTAGCGATTGGTGCAAGTGTACGCGCTCCGGAGTACATAAAGCATACATAAACCAAGTGAGAACCGGTTTTGGCGCGGACCGCTGCGATTGGCCGCGACGCACGCTATCAACAGCACGACGTCGAGCACATACACGCACACATCTGCAGCCAGGTAAATGCACACAAGGGAGCAGGTAATTACTGCTCTCTCTCGCTACCAGCACGCTCTCTTGCGCTCTCTGGCTCTCCGGCTGCGCGCAGCGCTTGTGCCGCTTATAAAAGCCGCTGGGCAGTCTCGTCTTGTTTCAGTTCTTCTCTTTCGTTCATTGCAACAGCAACACAAACCAATTGACGGCAACCCTACATTGAGTTCGTTCAGTTCGTTAAGTTTTGTGCGCAACGCGATGTTTATGTGAAGCCAGCGTCAAAATCAGTTCAGAGTTTTTGTGTGACAATAATACAAGATAACCAAGGGAAAAAGAAAAACAGTTACAAAATGCATACCGTCGAACATATACTAGTGGAAAAGAACTACAGCAAGTGTCCTTTAAAGAAGCGCCCTGTCAACTATCAGTTCGAAGCCGAACCCGAGGATTTGTGCCTCAAAAAGAACAGCAACGATGCCTGCTCGACAACAACAACAAATGTTGAGGTCTCGGTCGCAGCAGCCGCCTCCAGCTCAGAGGAGGAGCTCATCAATGTGAGCGACTGTTGCGAGGACGAAGGCGTCGATGTGGATCACACGGACGACGAAGCGGAGCACATGGATGTGGAGCACGAGGATGAGGATGATGTCGATTGTGTCAACGTTGAAAGCGATCCCAAACAGACACAGGCCGCTGCCCTGGCAGCTGCTGCCGCTGTGGCCGCAGCCTCGGCTGCGGCTGTCGCCGCCTCCGTAGTGGTGCCCACGCCCACCTATCCCAACTATGGCCTGCAGCCATGGAACTTCCATATGTCGCCGTACACGGCGGAGTTCTATCGCACCATCAATCAGCCGCATTTGTCAGCAGCAGCAGCCGCATCGGCGCCACTGCGCGCCGAGCTGCTCTCGCCCAGCTCACCATCCGATTCGTTGGGCTCGCTGTCGCCACCGCCGCATCATTATCTACATGGACGCGCCAGTTCCGTGTCGCCGCCGATGCGCTCCGAGATGATACACCGACCGCAGTTGGGAGTGCGCCAGCAGCAGAGTTTCCTGCCATATCCAACGTATCCTGCAGCCTATTCCGCTCTGGGCTATCCGCACCACCAGCCGCTGCATCCCCAGCACCATGCGCCGATTTCGCCAGCCTACTCCGAGAGCTCCTACTACTCGATGCGCAGTCTGACGCCCGAATCGAGCTGTTGCTCGGTGCCGGAGGATCTCTCCTTGAAGCATAAACAAGCTGCTTCTGCCGCACACAGTGATGCCGCCAGCAAACAGCTCAGCCACAGCAGCTCCGCCTCATCAGCTGCAACGGTTTCTTCGTCGTCCTCCTCCACCTCCTCCGCCTCGTCTGTGTCGGCCTCGTCGTCGCCCAGCAAAAAGGACAAGTCGTCGCCGCCTCGCTATCAGTGCCCCGACTGCCAGAAATCTTACTCGACATTCTCGGGCCTCACCAAGCATCAGCAGTTCCACTGCCCCGCCGCTGAGGGCAACCAGGTGAAGAAGTCGTTCAGCTGCAAGGACTGCGACAAGACGTACGTCTCCCTGGGCGCACTCAAGATGCACATACGCACCCATACGCTGCCCTGCAAATGCAACATGTGTGGCAAGGCGTTCTCCCGGCCCTGGCTGCTGCAGGGGCACATACGCACCCACACCGGAGAGAAGCCGTTCAGCTGCCAGCACTGCCATCGCGCCTTTGCGGATCGCTCCAATCTGCGGGCGCATCTGCAGACGCACTCGGACATCAAGAAATATTCGTGCGGCAACTGCTCCAAGACATTCTCGCGCATGTCGCTGTTGACGAAGCACAACGAGGGCGGCTGTCCGGGCGGCAGTGGCTCTGGCTCTGGCTCCAGCGCCGGCGCTGCTGGCTCCACCTCTGAGCTATCCTACGGAGGCTACGCCGAGCCCTAGGCTCCCAGCTCCACCTCGTCGTAGTTCATTATCGCATTACAACGTTCTACACAAGCCATGTTCCACCAAAAATTAGTTCCTAGCTCGAGAGTAAGCGGAAGCCGGCAGCTCCAAGACAAATCCAAGACACACACACACACACACACGCACAACCAGAAAAACACACACCCAGTGAAACGTTAAAATTTTTATTTTATTTTATTTTTATTTTCTAGTCAACATTTTCTTTGCAAGAGAAAATCAAAAACAAAAAAAAAAAAAAACAAAAAAAGAACAAAATATTTGTAATTTTCAAGAATTTCTTAAAATTACAATTGGAAATTCGTTTCGTAAGCCCTAGATATCTTTAGTGTGTCTCAATCCTAAGCCGAACTATTGTGAAGTATTTGCAAGTGTCCTGTACATATAGGTATTACGCTCCGGCGTCTAACTGTAAAGACTCTAAGAGCAAACGACGAGCCGCAACCTGTAAAACTTTAAAACTGTAAAACTAGCAACTCGAAACTATGATTATGACAAAGAAATCGTATATATTTGTATCTCTTTTTATTATAGTATTTTAGCATAGCTCTAGCTTGTATTTATATATACTTTTATATATATATATATATATACATATATATATTTTTGATATCCATGACGAAACTATTTGCATACATTGAAAATGTGCTATACATACAAATTTTTAGATGTTAACTGAAAAACAAAAATGAAACAGAACAAATATTTTGATATAAAAATGTTTTATAATTTTAAGTAATTTATTACACGGTATAAAAGAAACCGCAACAAATACAAAACAATCAACAAGAAAAAAGAAAAACAAAAAAAAAAAAATACATTTATTTACATACAAAAAACATTTATGAGCATTTTTTGATTGGGTTGTGAATTTTAGGAATTTTACTTGCAAAGTGCGAGAAAAGACGAGAGAATATTGCGTTCTATTGGGAATTTCCGAAAACTCTCGAGCTGGACGATTATAACTAGAGTATAATCTTGTTAGCAGTACGATGCAGGAAAATAATGTATTTCCTATTATGAAAACTGAGGAAAATTACATTTCCAATTCGTACGGTCTTGTTTGCAATACTTTCCCAATTGCTTCCAATTCGATTCCTATTGGCATTGTCATATTCCCAGTTCAATTGAAATCGAAATATTCGTGAATAACTTCCCCCTTTGGGCTTTACAACCATATTTTTTAGGTCGTGCTCCTCTTTCGTATGTCTCAGACGCACTTCAAATGCATAAATATATATACATAAATATATATACAAAAGCAACGATCGATCGACCGATCGCTCGGAGTCAATCAGCCAATCGCGACATTTTATTGCCAGAGACCCCAAAAACATTAAACTTTTTATATGCAACGCTGCTCATAAATTATATTTAAATTTCAGTGCACGTACTCAAGCGTACAATGTGAGTGTGTCTGGGCACAGGGGGCTGGGGGACACGGGGGCGGCATGGAAAGGGGCGTACAGGTATTCACAAAATGGCAGTCACTAAATCAAATCGAAAGCTAGCACAACACGGCACAACGCACGGTTCAATAGATCCGCTGCCACAGAGCTCCATCAACGTCTTATTAAACATAAACCTATTTTAATGAAAAAGATCAACGCAAATACGCAGATATTTATTTCGACGATCCACGTCGATCCCGATCCGGTGATGCGGAAAGAGAAATCAAATGGCGAGGCTCCACGGGCGACACTACTTCAAATAGGTGAGGAATCACAATGAATGGGCTAGCAGGCACTTTGAATACCCTACTTTAACATATATTTAGCTGAGCACAGGAATTGTCCATATGACTATAACAGAATATTCAGAAAATTCATTTTTTTAAGAAAACTTTTCAGAAATTAAGTTTCTATTTGCACTTTTTTTCAATTATATGGTTTTTCATATTATGCCTGGCAGACAGTGTTCCGTGTTTCCCTAATCTCTTCAAGAAACTACATTTAAAACTGATAAGTGCCAAAGCGCTGCCGCTTTGTTATCATCATCCATAGAGATCATCGATTGATGAGCCCGGCACAGTGTCTGCTTAAATATAAATGCCCAACTTGTAAAGGGTACAAAATATGGGTGCGTTCTCGACTGCTAAGCAAACTCATTATCGAGATCAATTGATCGCCCAGGCGGAGACCAGGTTAGGCCGGGCCACATGTGTGTGGATCTGCGCCTCCAATTGCGCTTCCCCGCTCCTCCCCCTCTTACCATCGCCCTAGAGCCCAAAACTGCCACGACTACGACAATTGTTGCCAAATTAGATCATCAGCAGCAACCAGACTGGATAGTCAAGTCCCCGTTCCCGTCCCCGTCTCCGTCGGCGTTAGCGTCCCCCAGCTCCGATTCGAGGCTCACGTGTGCAGATCCCAGCGAAGCGATCGTTGAGCCGAACTCGACGTAAATATATGAAATTAATATGCACGCATTTCGTGGCTCGACTCGGATGGTGTACAAGATCCCCTCCGCCAACACTCCGGTTACGTGGGGCTGCGGGGCAGAGGATTGTGCCCGATCGTGCTGCTGCTTTCTTGCACAAACAATTTGCAAACGATTTCTAATAAGCGTCCTAAATTGTAACAAAATAAACGCGCATTTAGGGCCTTTTGTGCCGGATCTGGCGATAACAAAGCGCCAAGCCGAGAGTCGCGACGACTTCGAGAAATGGAGTCGAAAACATGGTCAACGAAACAGAGGCTATCGAAAGGTGGCCCGCCCCCATTCCTGCTGCCCTTTTTTGCCAAAAAACAGTTGAGCTTCACTTTAAGTCTTGTTTTACTTATTTCTGGAAATTTTTCGGGTCTTGTATGTGCCAAATTTCGCGCTTGATCGGCAAATTTGTTTGACGCATTGGCCATGGACTTAATCCATCCCAAGTTTTGGATGATTGCTGGTGTCTGAATAGACATCAAAGGTGCTGTGAGATGACAGCTCAATTGCTGGATAAATTACATTTCTGAATGAACTTAAGTATAACAAGAAAATTACCATTTCATAAGTGAGATGTCCGCAGGGCTTTTTTAGAGCTGAACACAAGAAATGTTTTAAATACTTTTTCAATTATTGCAACACATTTTTATTGTACAGACCACAAACAAAAGTGTCTGTTGACAGATTTGTAAACTGATTTTTATGTGTTCATAAATAGACATTTATATAAACTCTTTATTGAATTATATTAAGAATACGATTATTGTCATCATTTAAGATATGTATAAAATATAGTCAAATAGCTATTCAGTCCCCTATTTTGTAGGCATTCTAGTTCTAAAATTGATTTCAGTTTGGCAGAAGTATTATGTTTCCCTTAATTAAGCTTAAGCTATAAATCATAGTCCTTTAGTTAGCCTTTTTTCCACATTCTTCTCTTGAATGAGCCACTGTTCTCAATAGCTACACCGATCTGTCGGGGCTTTCGGGTACACCTTCTAGTCCAGGGAGCACTGACTAGAGCTTATGGGGAAAACTCCGGCCACAAGTTGAGCTCCAAATTCAGCTCCAAACTACGAAGCGATCGCGCAAAAAAGCACACTTCGTCGTGACAAACAAAATGCTCACGTTTATCGCAGACAAAAGATCTCAATTTTTACGCTAAATTTCATTCGGCTGGTCTGTTTTTATTTTTTTTATTTTTGTCGCTCTTTGGCAAGTTCCCTGCCTCGATGTGGCTCCCTCATTTGGGCTGGATCTGCTCTGGATCGAGTGTTTTTTTTTTTTGTATGGGCAGCCTTTTGTTTGGAAAGTTTTTATTTTGGCTCGTTAAAAATTTGAAATTCAAAAAAAGTTTTGCGCCCAAACAAAATGACAAACAGCGCGCGAGCATTTAGCGGAGGGGCCAAGTGGGACAAAGAGTGCGAGGGTTGTGAGTAGGGAGGGGGGGGGGGGGGGGGGGGTCAATTGTTGTTGTTTATCTTTGCATATTCATAAAGCTCGATCTGTTTGTCGTTTGACTTTTCTGCTTTATTATGGCCGAAAATCGACTTCGTCGTCAGGTTTATCTATGACACGGACTGGCAGAGCTGGTTGGCCAGTAGGGAGCGGAAGCGGGAGCGGGAGAATTGGCCCAGCTGCAATTGCAAAACATCAGGAAAGTGATATTCGCTCATTGTATTACCAAATTGCACTACTTTTTGGCTTGATTTCAGCGACTGGAAAATCATTTTATAATATAAAATAATCCTTAGTATTTATGGATTAAGCTTCAATTTTAGTCGCATTTCCTCAGCTTCCAAGCCGTTGGCTTAGAACTTCTGTGCAGTCCAACTTTGGCGTTGGCGGCGACTGCGGCTATATCGAAATCTATAAATTCCCGAATTCGAACCCTGGGCCAAGTGCATTTCGCACAAAACGTGCAAATAATAACACCATCTCCATCTATGCCTAATGATCTACGCCATGGTGATGTTGGCCCATACATACATAGACACACACACTTGCACACCTCGTTGTGGCCACTTGCAAGACAATAAAACGCGTTAACTGCTGTTTGCCTGCGCAATTGTTGGCCGGGAGCCAAGTTTTGTTTGTCTGGCTGTCTGCCTGACTACCCCGCCCCGTCCCACCGCTCCCCTTGGCTTGGCCAATGCCAATATTGCACGCTACGCAGCCGCAGCGGCTAACTAATTGGCGAAACAGCAACAACAGCAGCAACAACAACAACAACAACAACAACAACGACAATGGGTTAGCCGCATTGGGTGAAAAGCCGCCAACTAGCCATAGCCAAGCAGGTTGCCTCTGTGTGTGTATGTGCGCGCGCGTGTGTATGTGTGCGTGTGTGTGTGCGTGTTTGTTTACGCAGATGATATCGCGTTGTCGTTCAGCTCACGCACTCCCCATTACACTTACACTCTCGCATCTCTCTCATCGCTCTCAGCGCTTTGAAGCTTTTTTGGTTGGCCAACCAATGCGACGCGCGCTGCCCCCACAAAACACTTGCGCTTGCTTTGCTTTTACTCTCACATCGTGCTTAGCTGCACTGTTGCGCGGTTTGTGACGTCACAGGGCGACAAGTATTTGATCAGATTTTGCTTTAAATATTTTTTAATTTATCTTCAACATAGTAACAAAACAATTTAATAGTAAAAAATAAATTGAAGTTGACTTTTCGAATTGGTTTAGTTCATTTACTTGTTCTTCAACTACGATAAATTTCATTTGTATAACATATTATTAATAATATGACATGAGTTCTACAAATAATTTATAGAGTGTTCCATCAACGGCTTGCAACAAAAAGTCTCTCTTTTATTGTTGTTGCACAAATTAGCGAAAATTGTCAAACAAATGCAGGAAATAAATAAAAAGTGTTGTTATTGTTGTCGTGCTTTGTTGTTGTTGAATTTCGTGCGTTGCACATTTTCTCTTATCTATGAACAATAAGATTTGCTTATGACAATAATTTCATTTTTCTAGGCATTTTTAGCAAGACGAGTGGGTAGTTAGTTGTTGCTACTGGCTATACGTATGCCTAATATTGCAAGTGTAGGAGAAGAGTTAAGAAGTTGGGATCGGATGGTCGAAAACTGGTTTCCAACTTCATTCCCCATAGTTGAAAAGATATAGTACTCAGTTTAATAGAAGAAGATTTCACAAGTTAGGATCGGAGGTTGAAAATTTGTTTTTCACTTCTTTCCCTTCGATAGAAAAGTTTTACTCAGCATGATTCTTTTGAAGAGTCCTGTAATCTACATATCTGTAAGAGGTCTACCCTATTTAGGTTTTCCGAACACAACCATTGCCCACCTGGAGGCCTTTGCGTTGACTCTCACGCTAAAGCCTTGACCCCCAACTTTTCAGAATCTCTGGGAAAACGAATCTCCCACACAGCTCATGACCAAACCGCCCGCTTTTTATGCTCAAATTTAGGTGCAGTGAACTCATAATACTAGAGAATAAAAAAACGACACATTCGAAATGGCATTCATATGAGAAAGATGTTGCTCCATTTCCTACGGCTCGAATTACCAAAAAAAAAAAAATCATATAAAATACAAAAAAAGAACCAAAGCAGGAAAAGAACCTGTTCATCGGCATGGATTTCGACCTCGCTCTCCTGCTGGCTTGTTTCTAAACGTGAGCGTGCATACATAAAACAAGCTGGAAATTGGGAACTACCTGCCTACATATCCATCCCGAGTCCCGAGTGCCGAGGGCAACAGGCATGCTGACAAGAGCAAATCAACATTCGACAATTCTGCTCGGAGACTGTTCGCGGGGTCATGGGAAAATTTGTTTGCATCGGAAGTGAAACCGTTTTCTGGTCGGGGGATGGGGAATATAGGGGATACAGGATATGCAGCGAGATGTCGTTCGCAGCGTGTTTATTTATAAGTAATGTCATTCGTCTGGCTCATATTTATGTTAATTTTCATTTCCATTTGGACAAATATAACAGGAATTTTGATTAATGCAACGCACCTTGGCAACGGCTGCGGGGCAGCTGTGAGAACCCACAGAAGATCTGGCTCCACACTTCGCCCAGCCATCCACTTCTTGGCACATTCAGCTGGCAGCCACTTAAAATATTTGCTAGTCAAACAAAAAACGAAAAAAAAAATAATAGAAATAAACAAAAAATAACAATCGCTTAGACACACGGCACATGTCCAAATTGATGCCCTGGGGCATTGCGGTGCGTGGATATAACCAAAAATGGACTCATTTGCGAACGGTAAATTCAAATTGTTATGATCCGTAAATGTCAAAATTGTACGCGATGTTTGTCTTTTGCAATTCAAATGGCCCGCCCTCCCTTTACCTTTTCATATGATTCATCTCGGGGGGCACTTGTTGTGCTACTAGCTATTCAAGGTCCATTATCCAAGTGCGGACCATAAATAACGACTGCCCCGAGCCCAGAGCCCAGCTGACATACGTAGCTCAGCCGTGGGCCCGATCTGTAGACTCTGTTGGCTTACTATGACTCTGGGTTTCTCTTTATGCTCTGAACTTTCTTCGATCAAATGAAATGCTCCTTAAGCTTAATTGTCTCTTCTTTTTTTTTTCTTCTTCAATTTTATACTCATTTAGCAAAGCTGTGGGGCGGAGCTGCGGTCATTTGCCCAAAGATATTCAAATGCTATAAAAATATGTTGGATACTCGAGTTAGCTGGGCACAGTGGTACACAGTTCATTTGTTCTACCTAGCGAAAGTGTCGATAGAAATAGAAATTGGACTATTTCGAGATAACCTAATTTTATTAGGTGGAATCTTGTGTAGATTAAAAGAACTGAGGGTTGTTTGAATATTATTACGATTGAATTATATTTTGTTGATATTTTCTTCTCGTTACTTTTTCTTAAATATAATGGAACTTATCTTACCAAAGCTGGTTTCATTCGTAAGATTTGTTTCATTAAACAAAAATTGCAATAGTTTGAGCCAAATGTTTTTTTTTATTAATATTGTCTTGCAGCGAAACGTAGCCACATTTTTCTCAGTTGCTGGTATTTCTTCCACTGTGCGCTGTGCAAATAGTTTCAATATTTACACCGACTTTGGCTTCAATTTCAGCCCAGAACAATAATAAAAAAAAAGACACCCGAAAAATCCGGGGGCAAAGATTTCAACATTCTTTTTTTTTTGGTATTTTGGGCAATGCCGGACTTGAAATTGGTTTCTCGATTGTTTATGCATTTTGTGGCGCACATAGCTCGACCGGGACCGACAGAAGTCGAGAGAAATTCATAAATGCCAGAAGAGTGGACGACAAATAGGCGGCCGCAGTCAAAAGAAGGTGAATAGAATTCTGGTCCATAGCAGCTCCACTCCATCATCATATACAATAATAGAGACCATAACAAACGCCGCGCGCGCCAAAACCAAGTGGGGAGCTCTTGGATAGTTTTTGTTGGACATCCAAAACTGATTTCATTTGCTGTGCACCCGTTGGCCATTTGACATGAATGTGAATCAGTGTCAGGCAGCCAAAAGTGATTTGATTGTCTTTGCAGATGCAGCCGCAGTGGCAGCTGGGCATGCATCAGGCACCCCCGCGTGGCAGGCAAGTTGGCCAAGTTGTTTCAGCCAGCTGCCACTTTCCAAAGCTAGCCAGTGCTGCCTCTTTTGCAGCTCAGCTTGTCGTTATGGCCCGTTGTCATAATCAAATGCGTTATCTGGTAGCTAACAGCCGCATAATTTCAAGTGGCTCTCAGTGCCCCTCGTTGGGCCGGCTCCAAGTGGATTTGCGGTTGCCTGGAAATCAACACGTTGCGCAGCTTCCAGCTCCAACTATCTGTGCATGTGTGTGCTTGTGTGTGTGTGTATGTGTGTGCTTGTGTTTGTGTTTGGTTTGCTGCTGGCATGATGGTAATTACGAATGTGTTGGCTCAAATGAAGCAGCTCGAAAAAGTGCTCGCATATAATAATGACAATAAAGAAATTATAACAATAATAAACTAATGGTGGAAAAAATGGTATGCGCCCAGCAGACTTTCGCCTTTTGTGGCCTATCCGATTACCTGCAGCACAGCCCTGTGGGTTAACAGAGAAAGGGACTGGGGGTGGAGAGCATTACCTTTAAGTATGTCTGATGACGATTTCATATCAAATTACCTGCAGCTAACAGTAGCATATAACAGTATAAAATATCATGTAGAACGATTTGTTCGGATCTAGAGAAAATTTGTGTTTACCAAACTCTCACTTCTAGCCCTGGCTTATGCAACTGATTTAAAAGATATAGGGGCAGTACCAGGAACTGACCATATTAAGAGCAGCTTGCGATTGGTCTATAGAGATTACATTCTTATGAGTTCATGCGAGATATTATCAATTCTACCTGCGATATGGCATAGATGAGGCACCTCCATAATCATGCCCTGACTTGCGTCCAAGTCAAACTGTATTAAAATTGTGGGTCAGCAGAGTGACCACGCAATGAGAAATGAGTTCTTGAATAACTACGCTGTTGGTCTATCATAAGGATCGGTTTTTATGAAATTTCACTTTAATTCATTTTGATTTTAATTGAAGTGTGCCTGCGCAACGGTATGCCCTTAAGAATTAGGTTTTTGTTTATTATATTTGGGAAGACCGGAAGATGTTTTATATTTTGCATATGTGTATGCTACAAGAGAGCTTACTTACAAAATTTTCTGGTTTTAAGATGCCTGCTTCAGCGCGTTACTTTTCCTTCGAATATATTTTGATGGCAGCTTCAAGTGCCTTTCGCTAGAATAGAATAGCGTACAACTAATGAGTATATCCTTGAATTGGAAATAAGAGAAGATTTAAACTTAAAGGAACAGACGAATAATGAGTTATTTTGTGAATAATATGTGCTGATTGTACTCACAATTCTTATTTGATAATCCCCATGGAACTAGCCTTAAGACAGATTAATTACATAGGGAAGGGCCGAATCTAAACCTAAACCTAACCATTTTTTGCTGAGGTTTTCTTCAAAAGAGTATACACATATTCTACTTTATAAACAATTTTTTGGGTTTTTAACCTTTTGACATTGCGCTATCGATTGAAAATATGTATACATACTGAATTCAACTGAGGCCAAATTCAAAAGTTTCATTGAAAATTGAAAGAAAGAAGAATTGATCAAGATTTAAACCCACATTTGAGTTAAAAGATATAGCAGGCTAACAAACTGAGCCTTAGGGAAATATATCAGTCGGAAAGGTGTTACTTAACTGTTCAAATTTGGGATAACAAAACAATTAATTATTTTGATCTCCAGGCAAAAGAAACGTAGCATCTTAAGCGTTAGTATACCCCGCTTATCCATAGGGTATATTGAAATGTTACACGTGAGGCGCGTGCAAAGGCGCAGCCTTTCTTGTTGTCATTGCAGCGGGCTGCACAAATTTCACTTGGTGCGCATTTAAGGAAATGTCGGGAAATGTCCATTTTGGTTACGGTTGCGATATTTCCTTAAAAGATTTTTCAACGCCAGCAAATGGAATTGTGGGTGAAAAGTTCAAATGTCAGCTAAACTTTCAAACAAAAGGTAAAAGTTATACGAAAAAAGTAAACTAAACAAAAAAATAAACAAACAGCAAAAGAAAGAAGTAAAAACACAAATAAAAGCCGCAAAAGAATTGCCAATGATTTTTTATGCAAATCATAAATCAGCCATAGACATTGAGACATAGAAATGGAAATGTAGACGTGAACCGAGAGCGCAAAGTGATTGGAATGACGGCGCGTTTGACTGATTGACGGACAGACTATAAGAAATGCTGCCCTCCCCACCCGCAGGCCACCAACTGCAGATGTGAATCACACTCTTGGCCAGATTTTGCACACTTTCCAGATATCCCGAAATAATTAACACAATGAGCGCTCGCAATGATGCGATGTCTGCGTCTGGCTGGGGCCTTAATTAATTTGAACATGGTTTAATTTCATTCACGCACAAAAGAAAGCTTCGGGTGGCATGGCCATATTGTATTGGCATTTAGCCCATGCGATTTGCAGTACCATCTTCATACTCTCTACACTTGAGATTGAGACCTGTTTTGCGGTCCCCGCACACGCATTGACCTGGCATCATTAGCACGAATCCCCAGCCAGCAGCCACCAGCCCCCAGACCCCAGCTCAACCAAGCGGCAAGTGGGTTTCAATAGAAATTAGCAAATGTGTCGCATCATTAGCCACAAAGCCATAGAGCCAAGCCATAGCCGGGTTTTGTCTCCGCGCGCTGGAAGACTCTCAAATGCTGTGGCATCTGCACCGATCTTCAAGTTCCTCTTGGATCATTGTTGTTGTTTCGATTCGTCTGTTTTGCGGTTTGTGGCGCCGGATTAGCTTGAGGATGCGGGCAACGATGTTGTCTCTTCATTTCTTCTTGTTGTTGTTATTGTTGCTGTCTAACTGCGAATTTCACCTGAAGTTTTCGGCCAGTTATATAACTACATTTATTTGGGTTGGGTAGGTGTTAGCTGTTGATCGTTGATGATTTATTGAGTTATGACAGTGGGTTAAGTTGTGGCCAAAGTGTTTATTTTGCAGATGGAAGTGCCAAAATTGAGCGGAGAAATATCCACAGCACCACGCGCAAGTGTTCAAGTCCCCGAAAGCAGTAAAAACAACGAAAGCGACAAAACTATACTCCATGAAAAGTTAAAATGTTTTCTGCTAAAAATACAATTACAAAGGACACTTTAAATATTTAACTCCAGTTCCGGCTTGCGATTTCACCATGAATTCGCCAATTGATTTCCGTGTCAATATTTGACTATTATTCCACGAGTTAGATTTGGAACATGTGAAAAGATTTAGGAGAACCTCCTCGCAGCAAATTATGTTGTTTGCTATTAAGAAATTTGGGTTTTAAGAATGTTGACTACGAAATTGATTTATCTTCAGCGAATGTGTCCCTTTCAGCGGCTTTCACCGGAACGAACTTAAATTTGAGCATTTTAGAGCCGTGTTCAGCTTTCGCAGCGCTTGACAAAACTGCGGGGGGGCGGCAGTCGTCGAGTTCCTTTCTAAGCTCTAATCCCATAAATCTCGCCTCTCTCTTGAGCAATTTGGAAAAACTTTGCTATTTGATCAAATATATTTTCACACTTGCCTCATATATCAAGCGGGCAATGGGGCAAAATTTGCACTACAAATGATTTCAACACCAAAAGGCCGCCAAGAGCAGCGAGCAGCAAGCGGCGAGCAGCGAGCAGTCAGGAACAACAGGCAATGCTGAGTTATGGGAAACACCGAGCGCATGTTGTACAAATTTTCTAAGCCCCCACAGCAACAATAAGAACGGACCCAGACGGCCAGATAGACAGCCAGACGTTTAGACAGATGGATGGACAGACGGACATGCCAAAACGCCAACGGACGACGCAGAATCAGAACAAAAAAAAAAAAAAATGCAGTGCAAATCTTCAAAACTGTGCAGCAGGCATAAATCTTCCGACGCCTTTCTTTCGGGGGCGGAACGGTACGGTTTTTGGTAGGGGCACAAAAACAAAATGCTGCATAATTTCCGGACCCAAGACGAGCTATTCTAAAAAAGCCAAATGGATTACAATAATAATTTTTCATATGCAGATTTTGCTACAGAAACTCTGCTGCAACAAGTTGCCAAAGCCATGAATAATATTTCATTTTGCTGAGCATTCGGGAATTCTGTCTAGCCTACGCCTGAGCTCAAAAAAGTTGTAAGATAAACAAATTTTGAGTGCTTGACTAGGAGATATCCTATACCAAGTGCATAAACTCGAAATATTCGGATGGAAGAACTATATACACATATCGATTTCTCTTAACATAATTAATTTTAAAATGAAAATTAATTAAGAACTTTCGATGGCTTTGTTCTATGGGGGGATATGGGAAACTTTTAGTATTTAGTTCATTTAGTTTGACGGGTTTGGTATAAAAAAAATATCTATTGACCGAGCCGACACTCCGAGTATAGGGTATAGAAATGGGTAGTCGAACTGATGGATGTTTTCTTGATGCGCACTTCTGAAGCAACTCAGCGACGCCAATATGTTGCAACAAATTTGCATTCGACTGCGACTTGAACTTCCACTCCACTTGAGGCAAACAACCTCCACCTCCACCGCCACCTCCAGCTCCAGCTCCATCTCGAACTTGGATTGCACTCAACGATCGTACCGTGTATCATTGGCCAAGCAAACGTTATCAACTTGAGGCTGCAAGAATTATTATGCTCTCTGCTAAATATAATAAAAACAAACCGGGCATAGTTTGCGGTTGGCCACAGGCCAACTCCACTTCCACTTGATGGACTTTAGTCAAAGTCAAGTTGGAGTTCAAGTTCTGGCCGACAGTTTCTGCATAATGCAAGTCAACGTCGAACGCCGAACGACGAACGCCGAACGTCGATCGGGCCAGTCAGCCTCATCATCATATTGCCAATAACGCATGGATTTGTGCAATAGATTTATTGAATTATTGCTCTGACCGTGGCAGGTACATGGCTCCACTCGACTCGACTGGACCTCAAGTTCGCAGTATGGAAAAATGCATTTGAGTGGGTGATAAATTCAAGCCAAGCGGTCCGTGGAGCGCACACATAGTCATTATACCAAGCGGCCATAAAAGAAAGCTGCTGAAGTACATGGACGCTGATGCAAGTCAGAGTCAAAGTCTGAGTCGGAGTCAGACTCGGAGTCAGAGTTAGAGCTGAAGTTAGAGACAGAGTCACAGCCCAGACTCTATGATAAGTCCAATTAAAGTTGCCATTGCTCCACTGCCAGCCAGCTGAAAACAAGACAAGAAAAGACCGTCTTCAGATCAACGAATATTAAATACACTTGCAGTAAATCAAAAGCATCAGAAAGTCAGCCTGAAAGTCAACCTGAGACTATATGGTGTAACGATCTAGTCTGTTTCGACTTCCTTTATATTCAGCTGGAAAATTCTATATACAAAAATGAAATTGTTTTAGTCAAGTTTTTTAAAAATATATATGAACTCCGAGTTTATGAATTTAAAAAACCACGTTCGAAAATTGAACTTCAGGAAGTTTGTTCGAATCGCGAACCGAATCAGCAACCATTTCTTGTGTTTGTTAATAACAAAATAACAAAATTTTCGTGTCATCATAGAGTATAACAGCAAAATGAGCGCCTTAGTTTGGCCTAAACGCTGGCCAATTGGCCTGGCCATCATAAGCAAATAATCAAGCCATAAATCTCACCTGGCAATGAGCGATTTACGTTTCGATGCTTTTGGACATATTTTTGAAAGTAAAAACTATCAAAATATTCTGCAATTATTTGGCAATTTGTGCGCCAAGAAATTTCTATGATTAATTGCCTTCCAGTTGTGCCCTGCTCCAAATTCTGTCGGAGTTAGCTGATATTTAAATTTTTCAAAGCCAACGTCAACCTGCTGCGAGTCGAGAGATTCTCGCACTGTGAAGTGCACTCCAGTCCACCGGTCCACATAAAAAACGCTCGGGGCGCCCGGGCCTCAAGTGCGGTGTTAGACGTGGTTTACGGTCTGCCCTGCAATTGCTTTGATTTCTCTCTCCAACGAATACAGCACAATTACAAACGCTGACAGTAGCCGGCCGATCTTCAACTTCATTAGAGAGATTTCGATATTGTTTGAATGCCACCGTAAAAGTGTAATATACATACGTACGGGGGTACGTACATATATAATTGGTAGTCAGTGTAGCAGCAGGCTGGCACTTCACTTTCCAACTATGACATGGCAATAATAATTGCGTTGCCCGTCGGCCAGAAGGGGGTAAAAGGCGCGGGCGCATAGGCTGCGGCTGCGGCTGCGACCGAGTTTCGGTAGCGCTTTAATCACTGGAGAAAAAAGGAAGAAGAAGCATAAGGTGTCTTGAGAATGTGGAGCATGTTGTGAGTCACCTTACGGTTGATCCAGTTGTCTCAATTAGCTTCAGCTTTGTCGCCTCATTTTCGGTTTAAATCACTTTAAAACTCATTAATTTCTTTCCATTCGCCTTACTTTTTACGCTTTGTTCTTTCGTATTCTGGCATGTTAAAACAGTGTTGTGAACTGTTAAGT